CCCCTGTATCCTTCATCAACTTTCATTTGTAACCCCCCCCCCCCCCCCCCCCCCCCCCCCCCCACCACAACTTTCCTTTTTACCCCCCCCCCCCCCCCCACGCTATCGGCAGACAGCAACGAATGTTGACTCATGAAAATGTCTCGAAAACATCCATTCCATTCCACTCCCACCAATTTCCGAAATGCGAGCATTCATTTATTCTGTATCTCATCAGCTTGTAACTGCTCACTGATCGGAAGGCTAGCAAGTGTTATCTTCATTTGCGGGGTCCACAGACCTCCGGTATTTTCTTTCCGTGTTGTTATTTATAAATTGAAATCTCTTTAGAGCAAATATCATCAATGAACAACGAATTTTTTAGTATAACACACTTTTTCTCGAGTCCCTGCAGAAAGCACATAGAGTACACGTTCAAACAATCTCATTATTAAAAAAATTCTAAATTCCAGCATTAAAACTTTTTGAGGAATATTTCAAGTGATTCTTCAGGTAGAAATTTCCTGACTAGGGCACTGTCTGCAATTTCTGATCCCAAATGTGAATGACTGGTTCTTGGAGCACGGATGGAAGCTGTTTTCAATGACAAATATGCTTTCAAATGGTTCCACACATCATCCTACCAGAATTGAGACTGGTGCAACTGATGGAATGAATGATTGAAGCAACGAAAAAAATTAGAAAATCACTAAGTTTTTCGAACAGTAATACAAAATCCGAGAATGCCAGAAAAACAAAACAAATTAATTATAGGTAGGTCTGAGGTAAATTTTTTCGCTATCATCAATTTTGAACATCTCGCTTAAAAAGAATTTCATTACTGTACAAAAAACTTTTTAAGAATTTCATTACTGTACAAAAAACTTTTTCTGAAGTCCTCGAAAGTGTGCTGTATCGAAATTTTACTGTACTATTTCGTAGGGATTGATATTGATATGAATTCGAGGAAGGGATTCAAAATTTCTTCTTTCTTTCGAAAAAAGAAACTTCAGCAAACCTGACGCTAAATCATTCTAATTGATCGGTTTTTGATTCGGAGTCAGCAAGTCTATTTCGCACAAAAGTTTCCCAAGTCCATACTCGACAAAAATTTGAATAACCAGTAATCCGTTCCAATACATACGAGAGTACCGTAATATAAAGGAGAAAAATGACATGTTTTCCCTAAAAATGAGACGATTCTTTCATGATTACAGTTGAACTGCAATTGAGCTTATTCCAGGGACGATTTAACGTTCATTCAACGAAACAAAACAAAACAAAACTCAAGCCACAGCTTCAACCCTTCCAGTATTACGATAGATTTCACCTTAGTATTCATTAAAAATTCAATTTCATACTTCATTTCATCTAGATCGCCTCGGCATTATTCCGGAAACATTAAAAATGTCTGCTTATCTTCTCTTCGTGACATTTCAAGAAAGGATGCCTTTTTTTTTAATAATTTCCGAGTACAGTACAGTAATTTCAGCATGAGCTTTGGGAGAACGAATATTCGACTACAGTATGAATAAGAATGTCTATGAAGAAAACTCCGTTTTGACAGGCTCTACTTCTCAGATGAAGCTTGCGCTAAAAGAGTAACACGAAATCGGTGATGGGACTAATTTCGACGGGAATCAGCAGAAAATGATGTTCCTTAAATTGAATTGGTCTCCTTCAAACAAAATTCTCTCATTTCAAGCGCACACACGCATAAAAAAAAAATAATAATTCCGTGCCTGAATCGTTCGGAAATTCCAAGTTTTCTGCAGACTCGTTGTCAATTCAAGACAAGGCGCGAGAGACGCAGCCTTCCCAAGTAAGAAGATCTGCATCAAGTTTTTCAGCACGAACACATCTTGTCCCCCACAGACGCGCCGCAGCCGAGACAGATCATTCATAAGTTATCCCATCAACCAGGATGACGTCACTGCCCCCGAAAGTACTGCGATGGAATCCCAGACGAAAACCTCGTCGAGAAAAAGTTGCCGTTGAATGCCGGAAGTGGGGGAAAAATTATTGAATGACTGTGAACAATAATAAAAAGAAAGAAAAGAAAAACACATACTGGGGAAGCTTATACCAAGTTAGGCACCGAGAATAAACAAGGCATAACCGGATCAGCTTTTGTCCGCGTTCCGCCCCGAGGATGAAAGCCCTCGCGGAGTGCTTTTCATTATTGCTTCGCTAGTCAACCACACATGAAGAAATGAGTTTGCTCATCACCGAAGGGATAACGGTGCGATTATCGCCTCGTTGACCCGAGGGTATTCTATTTTTTTTTTTATAAGAGGAAAAGGGGGGGGGAGGGGGTTTCCTCTTGCCTATCGGACGAAGAACGATTCGGGTCAATTTTTCAGCGACATTCGCGTGAATTAATCATTCGACCACCGTCTCAATTGCATTAATCATACATCTCTGTGCGACGGAATACTAGAAATCACTGTCATTCAGTTCAACTGTTCCCAAGTTACACTTCAGAAAAGAAAAGGTTCCTTGGAATCACGTGCTTTTGATTCGATCTCCAACGAATTTTAATTTCCAAAGACGGAAAAAAATATCGAAAATTCTTCCGAACTCAGCATTTTTATTTTCATATTTCGAATAGATTCTTCGTAGCAAAGAAAAGTTTAAAAGTCAACTGAACCACTTTAAGATTGCTCAATGTTGTTTTCCACGTACCAAGATACAGAACTGTAATTTTCAACTTCCAACATTCCGAGGAATACAGAATTGATGTGTCGTTTATGAGCTAAATGTGGCTGTTGTCTTTTAATAAGAAGGCTTAAAGTAGTGCTTTACAACCTTACGGAGTAGTTAGCACTTTAAACTTGTATTTAGCTTTAAAGCTAATAAGGGCGATCTCGTTCTCGGACAAATATTCTGGGCATTGAATGAAGGAAAAAAAATGACATACACTTGAAAGAAAACCTTTAAATCGTCTCCTCTGAATGGAAATCAACGATTAAACTCAAGAAAGTAATAAAACGTGGATTTTAAAACGGTTTCTGAAATCAATTTCAAGCGGTAAGACCATACCATTATAGACAGATTTGATTCGAACGGGACTCCGTCGGAATTAATAGGCAAACGGGATGATCGTAATGATGCGAAAAAAAGGGAATTTAAAGACCGAAGACCTACCTTTTGACAGGGCTCTCGCAGTATGGCGTATCGCCAAAGCCTCTTTCTTGGGGAGTAGTAGGTTAACTTGGGTAGCCCTGGTAACCTTGTCGTCACCAGAACAGAGTGGCAAATATTCCCGTGGTTCGACCAATTTTCAACAAGCATGGATTGAAAGAAACGGGTTTTGGTAAGCGCGAAAAGAAGTCGTTGCACTGAAGAATCGACGCATTCCCATGATTTTATTTGAGAGAATTACACGGGGACAGACAAATTATTCGTAACACGTGTGGCTATTACGCTCGTAAAAAGTAATCGTCTGAAGAAGTGATTGTACTCTAAACTTCAAGAAGGATTTCACAAAAGTCTCGTGAATCACACACAAATCTTCATTGCAGCTGGATGAAACATAACCATACACTCAGTGTATCCTTGCTGGTTCATAATAATAATTTTTTTAATCACAAAAAGGAATGCACAAAATTTTTCTTCGGCTGTCTGGTGAATTTCTGGTGCGCGATATTTCCGACATTTCATGGCCATCTTCAAAAATTAAAATAACTTTCGAAATCATGAAAATTCTCAACAACAAATCCTCGCGTGGATTCGAAAATTTTGAGGCAGAAAATACTGAATTACTCCTTCAGTGATTTTAAAATCGGAGGGAACAGCAAAATTGAGGGTTTCTATCAGAATTAACTCAATGTCGAAGCGGCTTTTGAAAAGGATAACTGAAAACCATGGAAGCAGTCGTTAGCAAAAATTGCAGAAATGTTAGCCAATATTTGAAAATTATCGAAATAAAGCAAGCAATTTTCAACATGCTCTTAATGCTTCTCATCGGTCGAGGTTAGAGGTCTCCGACACGTAATTCCTAATCGTACCTCAACTTTATTCGTCCGTCATGGGATGGAAATATTTTTCATAAATGAAAGAAGAAAAATCAAGATTCTTCAGCCTTTGATGTCGAATTCTTCGGTGACTCGCGGAACTTTCGATAAATCCCTAATTTTTCTTTCCAGCGATTCCCGAGAGGTGTAAGGACCACACAAGTCGACAGAAATAAAATAAACCCGAGGGGAAAAAATGTACGCATTCCGCTTGTGGAATCGTCCACTCCTCGCAATGCCTAACGAAAAAAAGTAAAAAAAAAAAAACTTCCATCGTCGCTTCTGGGCCTTAGCGTTTCCAAGCGTTTAGTTATTTGCATCACAAGCATTGACACGACATATCCAGGGCTTGATATGTATCAAGTGATTTCTGCTTTGCTTTGCAGCGTGCGCCAACAAGAGAAAAAAAAAGTAAGTGAATCGAGCGGACGCGATCTCCCTCGGATTTTCTCTTCCCCGCGGAAATCAGGTGAGACAGAAGCGTAATTGTTTGACGGGCATCATTTCTACGAAAGGTTTCAGATCGCGAAAGTGAACTTCGGTAAAACATTCCACACATAGATCCCACACACAAAGCAAGAAAGCATCATTCACACGAAAGGAAAAAAGAACCCCAACTCCCCCACTCTTCCAGATACTCGCTCTCTCCTTGACCTTCTAGATTCCCCTCACAGCAACAATTAATACTCCCATTCAAAGTCTCCCGAGAAAAAGAAAACAATTTCAGAACACCACTGCGAGTGAGAGAGATGAAAAATACGGCAAAAATTCGGAACAGGAAAACCGCTTTCCGATATTTCGATGCAGCGATTTTCATCATTTTCGCGCTGCTACACGGGACAAAAGGGACGAATGAAAAAAAAAGTAAAGTTGGATGACGACGCCGGAAACGCACCACGGGAGGGGAAGGAAGCGGTTTGTTTCGGAATGAAATGTATCGGGTCATTCGTCTTCAGTCGAGACGGAAGGGAAGAATTAGCCAGACTTAAAAAGGCTCACGCGGGGTCAATCCTGACCTCGCTTGCGACGCATCAGCGGCAACTCGACCTTATGAACGTTCTTGACGTGGAGTCGGAGATTCCCGCGGATATTGGTGTCATACTTACAATACGGGCACCGGTGCGGCCGCTCCCCTCGATGCAGCATCATGTGGGTGTCGTAACGCTGCTTCTTAGTGTACTCCTTCCCGCACTCGTCGCACCTGCAACGATCATCCAACAAATCCCCACTCATGTCAGTACATTTATTTATTTTTGCAGGAATCAAATTTAAAAAAAACCTTAGCAGTGAGTCAATTTATTTTCGAAATTACGTTCAATGAGTGATTGCACGGTCCAAACCGCAGTAGAACGACTCGCACGCGCACAAAATAAATATTGTACAGTACAGGTAACCCGATAATCAACAACTGGCAGAGACTTTTTGTTTTTTTGCATACAGGTTTCCGTCTGATGCAGATTCTTGCCTCGGACAGTGGATCCTGCCATGAATGAGACTGCGTTACAAATCTCTTTTATTGGGTAGAAATCCGAGTCCCAACGAAAAATGCGGTCGCTTCCAAAATTTGTCGTCGCTTTTTTGATGATACTGGGGCTTTTCAAGCGCTATTGCGTCATCAACAATTTTGAGTTGATTACAGTATTTATAGATTCGGTAGTTATGTAAGAATTTTAAAAATTCAAATGACTGGAATGCTGGAACACATAGTTAATCTGTTGAAAATCGCTTCACGCTATTCAGTCGAGTGACATTTTGGGGATATGAATAAAAGTAACACTCGGAAATATATATTGTAGTTCACTATTACTCGGTAATGTTCTTTTGGTTTAGTTGAACAATGATAACGTGGACCAGCCTAAGCTGAATGCCTCCATATTTCGAAATTTTATCTAGTACCTGTCTGAATGCCCTTAGAAACAATGCAACAAAGAATTCCCTAACTCGAGGCTTTCCACCTCAAACCTCTGTAACTCAAATTTTCTCGAGGCCTTCAGGTTATTATTTTATCGATAGGAAAGAGAAAACAATAAAATTTTAACTTGATGTATTTTGCAAGGAAGTGATTGGGGAAATGAACCCTTGCCTTCAAGTTTAGCATCCTGTAAAATAATTCAAGAATCAATTCAAGACCTAGACTATCACCAATTACAAGTTTTACAACTTCCTGTACTTATTCTTAATTCCCCCTACAAATATTGTTTCCTTACTCGAGATATTCGTAACAAAAAAATGTTGGTCCCTTGAAGTTCAGCGTAGATTTCACTGTACTACGGACTTCTCATTTGAACGGATTCCATTCAACTAGAAGTCCACTAACGAAGGAATCCCTATAGGACACAATTCTGCGTTTAAAGTGCTCCGCAGGAAAACAGAAATGACAAAGAAACCCTTTTTGAACTTCGCATTCGAAATTTATAAAATAAAATTACAGATTTTCAATCATGTGTTCATCTCCAAGAAGGTTCAAGATATCAATCTGTAACAAATTAACCCGAAGATGATTTAATTGCACATTTTTACAAATGATATAATTGTAATTGTTTTATATATACTGTATTACAATGTCGTGACCAGCACATGTTATTTGACACGAATGATTAGACTGTCTGGAATTTAAAAGAAAAATGTATTCGCTTTCGTTTGTCAAGAATTGAAAATAAGGTACCCTGAAAACTGAATGAAGTTTCGACATTTTTCAGATAGCTCAGAGTCTAGCTCCCTGAATTAAGTTTCCCTTTCATTCCCTCCAGATTTGATGCGCATACATAAATCCAAGTTGAAAAGTAAACAAAAAATAATAATACGATGACGATGATAAAGCCGTCAGTTTTTGGAATATATCCACCATTGCCCAATATCCTGACCTTTCTCAATGACATACAAGCATTTCTTCCGGATTTAAACATAAAACCCTTATGGATGGTAACCAGGAATACCAAGAAGTTGTGCTTAGGTGGCATCCCCAAGTTGTCTCTTGGACGTCAGGTATTTCCTTTTCCTAGCGCCCCCTTGAGTTTCTTTGCATAGCTTTAAGTATCTGGGAGTCACTCTACATACCGGTACTCTATACGTTTCAGTCATTTTTTTTTACACGAAGCTGGTAATTTAGTCTTCTGACGAATAGGTCAGGAAGATGAAAGAGAGTGACTCCTACAAGGTGCTCCGCAATGCGGAACTTTCTGACAGAGATAAACCTCCTGTACTATGGAATTTAGTTTTACGGTTGCGGATTCGGCAAATCATATCTAATCCCTTGTTTAATAAAGAATTAATCATTTGAGGATCCACTTTCCTCAGCAATAAAATGAAAAAAAGCAGACAGGATAGTTCAAACGATTGTCTCTTGCCTATTCAAACCTTTCAGGATACACCACAGATCGGAAATCTGTCGAATGTTGGTGTTGATGATGTAATGAGTAAATAAAAATAATTTTTCAGATGTTCCAAAGACGTGGTGAATAAACACAAGTTTCACCGGGACTCAAGCTGTATACACTCCCACGCGTCAAAACTTTCGTCAGATTTTTGTGTCATGACAGATGCAGTTGTTAACAAAATTCAAGACTGCTCAATAAAAAAATATGCAAATTATACTGTGCAGGGTTTCCAAAAGTCACTGCGCAAGTGCGGAACAAAACTTTCAGATTTCATGCGTTAAATTTTTCCGCATTTTTCATCTCTTGCTTTCGCGTGCGTCAATGTCATTTGGAGTCACTCGTGTCGACAGTGAATCACATTAGGTTAAATTAGCATCGTCGGTATACATTGCGCGCGCAAAAGCGCATAACCTTCTTTCGGATGAAATTTAGCGTAGGAATAATAATCACGAAGCAGGTTATTCTTGCAGTAATTCACGAAGTACAGTATTTAAAAATCACGTCAGGGATACGGTGAACGAAATGATGGTTTGATTTATCTGACTGTGGCAGCGAATCACACAGCTGGTACCCTAAAATATACTTTCCGAGAATACGAAATTTGCGTTAATCATGAGCACAACGAATATCACGTAGTCATGATCCGGAAAATTGAAAGGCGTATTACTGAAACTTTTCCAAATTCACTTTAGATAAAAATATATTCTAAAGAATGTGTTCAATTGATGAAATCAAAAATCATGAGCACAACGAATATCACGTAGTCATGATCCGGAAAATTGAAAGGCGTATTACTGAAACTTTTCCAAATTCACTTTAGATAAAAATATATTCTAAAGAATGTGTTCAATTGATGAAATCAACTTTCGCGCATAAAGTCTACCGCTGAAAACGCGGAACACCTCGAAAAAACTCAAAACCACGGTTGCAACACAGGTAACTGCCGAAAAAGAAACTTAGTAAAATTACAGTTACCGTTTCAAAAACAAAACAGAATCTCCACCACAAAAATTATGCTGAAAACCCTCGTCTAAAATGTGCATGAAGTCCAAGCAAATTACTTTCTCCTTTAATAAGAAATTAATCACACCTTGGTAATCTCATCAAAACAATTTCCCTGCGTAATGGAACACTATTTTTCGTTCCTCGAAAGTCGATTCCACGAAGTACTAACAAAGTCAAAATAATTTGAACGAACTCTTGACGATATTTATGAAAAGAAAGAGAGAAAGATGAAGGGATAGAAATCTGCTCAAACTGTAATCCAAAATGGGAACTGGTCAGAAACTCGCCTAGGAACAAATCATTATAGTCGTGTTTTAAATCATACCGAGCAACAAAAATGCGAAAATTGTAAATAAAACTTTAAATTATAAGCATTTTCAACCACACCCATCTCTCGGGCGTCACAATCATTTCGCAAAATCCCTACCTCGAGAAAAACGGCACTCTTGCTATGAAATACGGCTGCCACAATTCCTAATGTGCAGAAGTATATTTCGCGAAAGTAGGTGATAGAGTAGTCAGTAATGCGTATCATAGTCAGAAATAGCCCGAACTAAGATGTATCCAACGCAAAATTCAATGCGAACATTTTTTTGAATACATTTTTTTTTTTTTAATAAAAGACGGCCAATTTTCACACGCAGCGATCACAACAATTTGGTCTTTATTGGAATATTCAAATTTTTGGGATTCTTCAAGTACTGTATTTCCTATGATTAATGCTGTACTTCACTAAGGCAAAGTATGGACGTCAGGTTCATCTCAATGGTTATTCTGCCGATGCTTCTTGAAACCTTCTGGTGATTTTCAAGTACTTTTTCATCTTCCTAATGAGGATGTGAACACGTATAGTTTGTCATTACATAGAGGAATATAAATTGAGAAATCAATTCACCTGCAAATTCTTCCTTTAACATACGAGCAGCTGAGCTCAACCGAACTCGGCGTCTCCCTCAGTTTATTAAGCACGCTTTTTTTCAAACAGAGATGATATTCAGCACGATTTTACTCAGTTGTGTAGCGAGGTATTCATCATTGAACAGTGAAAAATTTCAAGTTGTGAATCAGAGAACAAGGCATACTTTCATCAACTTTCACAGCTGATTCAAAACACTCAATCGTGTGCCAACTGTTCAGATACATCAGATTGGTAAAAGGGAATCACGCGCTACCACACCCACAAAAAATGTCTGGAAGGTATGATATGGATGCAATATTTGTAGCAGATTGAAAAATAGAGAAAACGCTGAAGCATCAATGCATCAACCACAAATATTCGACCTCACCGACAAGAGAATTGAACATTTATGATTTTTCTGTTTACTTCGCTGCTGACGACTAGGATCAGACAATAAATCCCTGTCATCGTCAGGACAGCGATTACTGCCTGCCTAAATGTGATGGCTACTTGTGTGCTTTATTTTTTTTTCATTACTGAACCTCATTTTTTAGTGTGATTAATAGAGAATCGTCTAGCCTGAGAAGACCCTCCTTTAGGTAACAAAAAGATTTTCCCATTTCCGTTCTCAGGCGCCGAAACACTTGCCGGTGGGATGATGCCAGGAATTTTATAATTTCTTTCTCGTTGATCTTTGTTCATCGTTTCTGAGACAAAAATCGGATTTACTGTACTTGAATACTAGACATCACCGATTACTCTATTTTTGGTGCATACAAAAATTTGAACCAATTCCACGAATTTCGATTTTTAAAATTCGCATTCCGATGATTGCGCTGGTTGGAATCAAGCATGTACGCGTGCTAGAACTTCATCATCAAAATCGAATACCACCGAATGTTAAAAATCTTTTCGAGTCCCTCTCTGAATTGCATCATACAAATTCAGAGGGAAACTTTCACAAATCTCCATCACTCATATTTTTTGGAAGTATTTTGGCTATTATTCTCGTGACCCAGGAAAGATATAATTGATGAAAAAAAATATGACTGGATGATTTTTGAAATGATGTGAAGGAATAATTCGGCAAATGAACACGTGCCTCCAATTTCAGCACTCTGCCAACTTCTTCACAAGGCAGTTTAGGCAGCCAAAAATCACCAATTTAAACTTTCTTAAATTCTCCTTTCTTTTAAAAGGCAAAAATGGCAGTTTCCCTAACGTTTACTGCACTGTGTTACACCATATAGTATCATTTTGTACCTATAAATGATGACGTTTTCCGCCTTGATGGAATGCACGAGCCAGAGGTGCCGGTCCAGGGCGTCCTTGGTGCGATACGTCTCGCCGCAACTGCGACACAAGAAGCTCTTCATCGGGCTCATGAGCATACCGGCACCACCACCGCCGCCGCCGCCGCCAAGACTTCCTCCTCCTCCTCCTCCTCCGCCACCCCCGTGTCCATCTGGCGGCGGCGGCGGAAACGTGATCGTCATCGCAGCAGCCGCCAATCCGGCGCATCCCGTCCTCTGATGCTGCATCAAACTGCCCTCGGACGGAAATAACATGAAGCACAGGGGACAGGCCAAGACCTGACCCGCACCTCCGTGCACAGCCTGCGCGTGGACCTGCAACGCCTGCGGAGAGCCGCAATCCTGCTTGCACACATGACACTCAAACCGGCGCCTCGACGCCGCCTTATGCCCCGCCAACGCCGCCTCGGAAAAAAACACCCGGTCGCAATCGTCGCACGGGATCGGCGGATGCTTGAGATGCTCTCGATTCACGTGTGTTTCCAATGCAGCGAGCTGCATGAATCCTAGACCACAGTGTCGACACTGGTACTTGCCTCTCGGTGGCACATGCGTCGACGCCACGTGGAGTCGCAACGCCGGCTTGCTTCTCAAACTCACGTCGCAACTCGGGCACCGCCAACGAGTCAATTGCGAGCCCGGGTCAAACACCGCCGTCGCGGCGTCATCCAGTCGCAACAACTGCTCCGCGGCACAGGCAAAGTGGCGTCTCTTGGCCATGTGCGCCACTAGTGCCAAGTCGGAGAAAAAGCCTCGTCCACACACTTTGCACCCGTACGGGGCCTGTTTCAAATGCGTCTTGTTCACGTGGTACTCGTAGCGATGCGCCTTGGAAAAGCTCGCTTCGCAAAACTCGCAACAAATGGGCGCCACTTGCTGCTGTCGACTCAGGTCCATGATTTCCTCACCGTGCGGATCATCCAGCTCGTCCATGTCCGCCTCATCAATTTCGTCAAACGGTTTCAAGTCCCGTTCTTCGCTGGAATCCGTGTCCGAGTCTTCAGAGTCGTCACGAGGGTCTTCGGCACTCGTCAAGTCCACGTCACTGCTCGGCATCGACGACGACATCCCGTGGTCCGCATTATTATTATTATTGTTGTTGTTGTTATTATTATTATTGTTGTTTGACGTCACGTCGCCATTGAGCTTCGCGGCGGTGTCATGTCGCGGGAAGTTTCCCTGGCGGAATAACACAACGACTTGCTCCTTGGCCGCCGACAACTCGAGTTCCATCCGGTCGACGAGACTCACGAGACCCATACAACGCTTGCAGATGAGGTCGGCAGCTCGACCCAAGGCCGACAAACGGACGCCTACAATGTCCTCTAGCTTCTCGCTGAAAGTGCCACTGGACGCCGTCAGCGTGAGTGCCGCCAACACGAGACAATCCGAGCCCGACGTGTCCAACACGCGGCGACACACGACGCAGGAGGCGTCCATGGCGGCGGCAGCAAGGCGGGCAGCACTCGTGCCAGGACGCGACGCTGACGAAGACGACGATGACGAGGACGGAGGAAGCTGAGGATGCGACGCCGTCAGTTGTGGTGGCGGCGGCAGCTGTGCGGCACCCTGCGCTTGTGCGACCAAGGATGGCGGTCGGAGTTTGAGGAACGGATGCGGCAATTGTGGGAGGAACAATTGCGAGGACAAGGCGGCTTGGAGCCATTGCTGCTGCTGCGGCGGCGGAAGGGACTGCAAGTGCTGGTGCTGGATCAGGGACTGGAGAAACGGGTGCAGCGACGGCGGCGGTGGTGGTTGTTGTTGTGGCGGCGGCTGTGTTGCTGCTGCTGCTGGATGACCAGGAGCAATAGCAGGAGGCGGATGTGGAGACGGTCGTTGGGACAACGGATGAGGACAGTCCTCACCGGCGTCGATATTGTTGGAGTCGGAGAGGGGCGATTCGGACCGCGTGGACGACGGCGGCGGCGGCGGTGGTACTTGTGATGGTGGTGGTACAGAAGGAGCTCGTGAAGGAGGAGCTGGCGGTGATACCGGTAACGCCGGCTTCGTATCCAAAGGCTCTGATATGCTCGAGCCGCCGCCTTCCATAATGGCACATATTCAACCGCCCCCTCAGCGACGGAAGTGCATCCGGGACACTTGGCTAGACTTGCCACTTCCTATTGGGACACTTTTTGGCGCAGCCAATCGACGGCAACTCGTGGCAAGATGCACACGAGACGACACTCGAAAAGTCTTCGCTTCTTTTCTGTTCCTTTCTCTACGATTTTTTTTTTCTCTTCGTCTGCAGGTAAATTCCCTTCTTCCTCTTCTTCCTTCTTTTTTTTTTTCTTCTTCTTTTGATCCGACGGTACGTTCGATACTTCAACTCAGGCGACGACTTTATACAAACACTTAAACGGGAGAACAGAATCTGCCACACGCGCGACAAGAACGGGGAGAATCGGAGAAACCGGTCATTTGCATGAAATCAATGCGCGTCATCTGCTGACGATTACAAACGCACTGAAGTAGGGAACTATCCCATCACAATACTGGGTTTTCTCATATAATATCGTGTGGGTCCACGAGGGCGGGTTCATAATTTTGACAGTCGTGTGCTAGCGGCCGGCGTCATAAAGGTACGCCTACCTATATGACATCAAGGTATAACTATGCTCTTTATGCCGTAACATAAAGTTTTAGATGACTAGTTAGCGGTTTAAACAGAGCAGGGGCACAGTTACCCCAGAAGACAGAAATTTAAAAACACACTTCTCATTTCTACAGGAACTCTCACTTGCATGGCTCGTGAATTTACAGATGCATCAAACATATATTCCTGAAGTATTTCATTTAAAATAATTTCGAAGAACTCGAAGCCACTTTTGGGAATTTTCAGGTAGTAACTATCACGGAATGTGAAGGTCACTTTAAAATGTCAATTGGTGATCAAGAAGTCGCAGAAGTATAGACTTCAACTGAAGAAAACTTTTACCAAATGTTCAATGAAAATCTTTCAAAATTTTCAATAATGCAAAATTTCCCGGTTCTGACTCAGAAGCTCGGGTGACAAACGAATCGTTCCATTCCAAGGTTCAGACGAAACTTTCCATTTCAGGGTACGGGCGAAACTTTCCATCCGTCCCTTGTACATAAAAATAAATTTCTCAGCACTCTCCGCCCGTTTGACAAGCAGCCTGATTTCTTCTCTCTCTTTTCAAAAACAATTTTAAGTGCTTTTCACGACCCGAGATGAAGTTCGTTGAGTTCTGCATCACCGGGGATTTTCATCTAGAAATTTCCTCTATTTTCAGAGAAAGGTTGTGACTTGAAACCTAATGCATGCAAGCGCTGAAACCTCTCCACACTCTGGCTACTTCCCACGCATCATTGCGGTGGGCTCGTGGCTCGGAAAACCAAGTCTTTTCTAAGAAAAGGAGCAGTTTATCTTGGACTTCACACAACTTTGAATAAACTTCGAGGAAAGAAAAAGAAAGTACGCTAGACTCCTTTGAAGCCGGCTGGTGAACTGAACAGATGAAAGCCAGACTGAGACACAATTTCGGAGTCGTATGATTTTGCACATACTAGGGTTGTCCTAGTTTGACGCGGCCTCTGATATTTCTAGAGAAGGTGTGATTGTCAATACAGTAAAATTCGAGACCTAGCCAATTATGCTCTCGAGTACTGGGGTTTTTATCAACAAGAATTTCTCAATTTACTGTATGATGATGCGTTTAAACTTTCCGGTTTCAGCCATAGTTCTCCACCCATGCCATTGGGTGATGAAAGTTTGTCGCGCCAGCTAAAAAAAAAAATTGAATATGTTCTTTTTGCGTTTTAGATAATGGCTAAATCAGATACATTTCAATTCTTCAGCTGGCCGGACAGATTTGTAGCAACCTGGTACACAGGTGGAGACCTCCGTAACCTGAAAGTTTTCATTTCTGATCATCCAGTAAATTGAGAACTTTTCGTTTTAAATGAAAAAAAAACCCCAGAACCTTCGATCATCGTGGATTATGTTTACACAATCGCATCCCTTCTAAAAATATCTGCGGCCGCGTCGAACTGGGACAACCCTCGTATATGTCGAATGGAAAATACTGACGGGACATAAAATTGAACCAAAAGCACCAAGGACTCATGCGCTCCATGAATCGTATCTTAAAGAAAAATTCTAATGCTTGTGAATTGCGAAGAACGGTGATCGACGGAAACGAGTGGCAAAAGCCGTTCTAGAATAATGCCCTTTAAGGCTGCATCAAAGTACTGAAAACCTGATTATGCAATTTGGGACAACCGCCTATGCAAACTGCTCCTGTAATTACACCTAATCTCGCATGCCCACGCGTCTGTAGGGGTTGGAACTTGCATAAAGACGGTCAAAATGTATGAAAGCTTCTTCGGTGACAAATCGGAAAATTCCAATTTAGTTTAATTCCGTTAAACCAAAAAGATAAATAGAGTATCAATGCAATTTTTACAGGACACGAGAGCGCGGTCAATGCTTCGAATAAGAAATCAAGTGCAAGATCAGTCTCGCCTCGTGATGCCTGAAATTTATTATTTCCAGCTAATCTTCGAAGACAATTTCCTAAAATAGCGATTCCATCGAATCGCTTCTTCTCGGGCAGGGCGTAATCGTCTACGACTAACGTACTACAGTAATGGAATTCTGAAACGAATCAAATATTCTGTTTTATACCGCTTTTAAAATTCAACTTAAAGTGACACAGAAACACAAACCACCCATAAGAGAAACCTGTCCTTGAAATTATGCCGCTGGAACGCATCAATTCAGTTCCTATTTTAATCTCACTCGCGGTGATTGTGATGATCGCTACTAAAACTCAGCGAACGAAGCGTTGATCGAAATAGACGTAATGTATGGATAAAAAACAAACCGGTGATTCGCCAGCAATAAAAAAATAATAATTCCCTGCGGTGGTATACTAAATGTGCGAATAATTGCAATGAAATCCCGCCCCTCGGCGAAACTTTCATTCAGACTCGAATTCGCGGCAACTTGAAGCGCTGAAGCTCGACTCTCTTTTCATGGAATAACAATACACAATTATTTCGTAAGTTTATCTGCTTAAATAGCGAAATTTTCATCACAGCCGGTCTAAGCAAAACTTTTAGTCCGCGTAGTCTTTTAGGACTGGAGACAGATCAGAAGAGTAAGAGCACGAATGAATACAGCGTCTTTGAGTCTTAGGCTAATTTAAGCTAGTTCACTACCAGTACAGGAGTTCTGTAGAAGAGGTTAGCTATTTTGGACTCTTTTGTTCACACATCATTTCAATCCGGTAAATCGCTCTCNTCGCCGGCCGCAGTATTTCCATGCGGATGGATATACTGTAGTTCCATATTGATACGAGAAATACGGCATTGTATTTCAAAATCTACTGATCAATCGCCAAATTTGTCTCGTCCCCGTGTCAATGGGGGGAAGACAGAAATTTGAAAACACACTTCTCATTTCTACAGGTACTCTCACTTGAATGGCTCATGAATTTACAGATGCATCAAACATATATTCTTGAAGTATTTTATTTAAAATAATTTCGAAGAACTCGAAGCCACTTTTGGGAATTTTCAGGTAGTAACTATCACGGAATTTGAAGGCCACTTTAAAATGTCAATTGGTGATCAAGAAGTCGCAGAAGTAAAGACTTCAACTGAAGAAAACTTTTACCAAATGTTCAATGAAAATCTTTCAAAATTTTCAATAATCCAAAATTTCCCGGTTCTGACTCGAAAGCTCGGGTGACAAACGAATCGTTCCATTCCAAGGTTCAGACGAAACTTTCCATTTCAGGGTACGGGCGAAACTTTCCATCCGTCCCTTGTACATACAAATAAATTTCTCAGCACTCTCCGCCCGTTTGACAAGCAGCCTGATTTCTTCTCTCTCTTTTCAAAAACAATTTCAAGTGCTTTTCACGACCCGAGATGAAGTTCGGTGAGTTCTGCATCACCGGGGATTTTCATCTAGAAATTTCCTCTATTTTCAGAGAAAGGTTGTGACTTGAAACCTAATGCATGCAAGCGCTGAAACCTCTCCACACTCTGGCTACTTCCCACGCATCATTGCGGTGGGCTCGTGGCTCGGAAAACCAAGTCTTTTCTAAGAAAAGGAGCAGTTTATCTTGAACTTCACACAACTTTGAATAAACTTCGAGGAAAGAAAAATAAAGTACGCTAGACTCCTTCTTTGAAGCCGGCTGGTGAACTGAACAGATGAAAGCCAGACTGAGACACAATTTCGGAGTCGTATGATTTTGCACATACTAGGGTTGTCCTAGTTGGACGCGGCCTCTGATATTTCTAGAGAAGGTGTGATTGACAATACAGTAAAATTCGAGACCTAGCCAATTATGCTCTCGGGTTCTGGGGTTTTTTTCAACAAGAATTTATCAATTTACTGCATGATGATGCGTGAAAACTTTCCGGTTTCAGCCATAGTTCTCCACCCAAGCCATTGGGTGATGAAAGTTTGTCCGCCAGCTAAAAAAAAAATTGACTATGTTCGTTGTTTCAACAACTTTCTTCTTTGCGTTTTAGATAATGGTTAAATCAGATACATTTCAATTCTTCAGCTGGCCGGATAGATTTGTAGCAACTCCGTAACCTTAAAGTTTTCATTTATGATCATCCAGTAAATTGAGAACTTTTCGCTTTAAATAAAAAAACCAGAACCTTCGATCATCGCGGATTGTGTTTACACAATCACACACCTTCTAAAAATATCTGCGGCCGCGTCGAACTGGGACAACCCTCGTATATGTCGAATGGAAAATACTGACGGGACATAAAATTGAACCAAAAGCACCAAGGACTCATGCGCTGCATGAATCGTATCTTAAAGAAAAATTATACTGCTTGTGAATTGCGAGGAACGGTGATCGACGGAAACGAGTGGCAAAAGCCGTTCTAGAATAATGCCCTTTAAGGCTGCATCAAAGTACTGAAAACCTGATTATGCAATTTGGGACAACCGCCTATGCAAACTGCTCCTGTAATTACACCTAATCTCGCATGCCCACGCGTCTGAAGGGGTTGGAACTTGCATAAAGACGGCCAAAATGTATGAAAGCTTC